ACTAAAAACAAAATTTTGAGGACTAAAACGAACGTTTTTCTAAAGAATGAGGACCAAATTGTACCTTACTTTGGAAGAGGGACGAAAACCAGAAACGACCAATAGTTTAGGGACTAAAAACATATTTAACCCTTATTTAAAATAAAGAAGTTAAAAATGGTGACATTTTATTGAAATAGAATAGGATTGTTAAAAATAAAGTTGAATTAAATTGTGTGATTCATTTAAATAAAATTAGATAATAATATTTATATTGTTATAATAATAATAATAATAATTGTTATTATTATTCTAATTGACTTCTTCTTGGAGATATTTTCATTTTTTTAGAGATTTCAATACACGTCTTCAACGACTTCGTATTTTTTAGCGCATGAATTACAATATAGAATTTTAGCGATTTCTTCTTCTTCTTTTACAACACAGAGAAATACTATCGTATATATTAAATTAAGACAATAAGAAGAATCAATTTGTAAAACAAATAGGTATGAGAATTCATTCTATCTCAAGTTAGAGAGAAAGTCCTTCCTCCCACAAGAATCAATTTTGTAAAAGGTTTAAACCATCGCATGATCCTCTTATTTGTATGAGAATCTCAAGTGGGTCCTCTTATTTCTAATTGTCTCAAATGGGTCCATATATTTGTGAAATATCTCAATTGGATGCAAATATTTGTAAAATTGAGTCAATTTTGCCCTGACCGTTAAATTGTCACAAACAGCATTAAAATGTGTTGAGGTGGATATACTAACGTGGATATTTTATTAAAAAAAATATGCTGTCAGTGATGACATGGAATTTAATAAATTAAAAAAAATAAAAAAATTATGCAATCAGAAAAAAAAGGGAGGAAAATGGCATGCACTCAGAAAAATTACAGAGACCCAATTTAGAAAATCCTTCGAATCCCAAATCGCCATTGCCTCATCTCTTTTGCAAAACCCTTAACTTCGGAAAGCCGCCGCGAAGACGCTACCATTGCCGCACTGCAAAGCTGAATCGCCATGGTCAAGGTGGTATTAGCAAAAGAGTAAAGAGATGGTCAAAACCAGGACCGCCATGGTAGCTTGCAATTCCATTTTCATCCTTCTCAAAGAGCTAAAAATGTAAATTAGTTTCTGCAATTAAAGCTGACCTTTTCTCATTCTGGTCTGTATGCACAATTTTTCTGATCTATATACAAAAAAAATCAAGTTGCTCAGAAAGTTTAAAGCAGTCTTTGAAATTCCTAATCATTTGAAAACTGAAACTTCACGCGTTGTAGAGCTGAGTTATCTGTCTCGTTTTGATTGAGGAATCAAAACCGAGATTCAGAAAAAAAAAATAAAGTACCCCTAATTGTGTCCCGAACACAGTTTTGGTTTTGCTCTTTGTCTTCTCTCTCATTCTGTTTGGGTCTTTGCCTTGTCTTTGTCTTTTGTTTTCCTGTTTGGCGTTCCGTCTGCCATGATTGGAGGCAAAGATCTTGTTCCCAATGGTGTGGACACCGAGGGAGAGAACTCAAGGAGCAAGGTGCAGTGCCCTCAGCATCGTGATTTTTCTTAGGGTAAGGAACGCCCACAAGAGAAAAAGCAAAAGGAAGGAGAAGAATCTTTGCGCAAGATAGAAGACCAAAACGAAGGAGAAGAAGAGAACGATCGCCATGTCATAATTTCTTAAATAAAAAAAAATCCACGTAATAAAATATTTTGACATCAGCGTATTAATTATACAACAAGTAAACATCAACTAACGCCGTTTGTGACAATTTAACGGTCAAGGCAAAATTGACTCAATTTTACAAATATTTGGACCCAATTGAGATATTTTTCAAATATATGGACCCAATTGAGACAGTTGAAAATATGAGGACCCACTTGAGATTCTCATACAAATAAGAGGATTATCCGAGGGTTTAAACCTTTGTAAAACAAATAGTTATGAGAATTTATTGTCATCTTAAGTAAAAGATGAAAGCCCTCCCTCCCACAAATCTATCATCGCAAACTTGTTCAATTACTTAAAACAAAGAGAAACTCACTATTCCATCAATGTAAACAATTGATAAGTGTCTATTTATGTCATTATTTTTCTTTAATTTTGCCTTTTTAATTGATTATTGTGCTTAAAATATTAATTTAATTAAGATTTATGATAATTAGACTGATTGAGCTTGTGAGAAAAAAATATATCAAAAATAAATTTTTAATTGCATAAATACTTTTAGATATTCTAATATTTAATGCATTTGAGCTTAGATTTAAGCTCTTTCAAAGTATGAAGATAAATTCATCAAAGTTACAAAACAAGGCCAAAATCTACAAATTAAGGAAAAATCTATCCTACACCCTCTAAATTATTCATACACTCTCACTTTTTAAGAAATTGACTAGTAAAAATTTAGCCATAATTAGAAGCTGCCAAGTGTCATAATTCTTAATTGTCCAATTAAAACATAACACGTGGCAACATTCTCCATTCACACATCAAAACCAATGAGATGTTACAAAATCATCATTTTCTCCCCTCCCACAAGTCACAACTTGTCATCGGGGCTCACCACGAACGACGTAACCATTGTCGATGCATATCTATAATACATTGTCAACCATCACGCATCAGACCGAAGCAGGAGATCCTTATGTATCCACCAACTCTAAATTCCATGTAAAGTGACTTATTTTGGGCCTCATTTTGTCTTCACCGTCATCTTCCGCATCCATCTCCTTAATTTTCTTCTATTTTATATATTTCGTAAAGTGATAAACCTTTAAAGTTGATTTTTTTATAATCTCTTATTTGGATTCTGAGATAAAAAAATAAATAAATTCTACTTAAATAATAATGTCATTTTAGTCAACTACTTTAATAAAACTTAAATGAAAATTTCTTTTAAAAATATGAAATATACAATGTATTAAAATAATTACCAAAGCATATTCCACATGACAATTAATCTTATTATATCCCTGTAAATTAAATCTAAAAATTAAAATTATTAAATTTAAAAAATAAACGAACATGAAATTTCAATTTACCAATTTACTAATAAAATACACTGATACAATTTTACATTATTACATTTTTAGAAACTAATTACTGTGCGTATAAATATATTATTAATATGTCTAAATAAAACTTAATATTTTGAATATTGATTTTATATTAATATACTTTTAAAAAGATTCTTAGAAATTTGAAGAGGAAACTAAATTAGAATTTGACCCCTTCTAAGGGATAAAACTTCAGCTCCATAGTAGCCGAATTCTAATTTTGGTTTCGAAAAGGATTATTAGGTTACTATGAAGGGTTTTGTTTTTAGATCTTTTTTCTTAAAAAAAGGGACTATTGCCGAAAATGTTAGAAAACAACACATGCAAGTGTATTTCATAATGGATAAATGTGAGTTTAAAAGTAAAAACAAAAAAACAAAAACTGACGTGTTCTTTTTTTAAACTAAACATTTTATATAATTTATTGTTTAGTATTTTAATTTACCTTTCTTATTTTCATTTTTTTTTTCTGTTTTCGGCTGTTTCTTTCCTTTTTTATTAAATGAATCCTTGGTAATTTCTTAACCCAGAAAACTTTTAACAGAATTACTGGGCAAACCCCCTTTTTTTTATCTCTCTGCTCTCTACTCCTACATTTATAAAAGTTATTTTTCATACAGTTGTTATATTTCAATATAGTAGCATAAATATTGTCTATAATATGTCAAAAATTATATTACGAAAAATAATATTTATAATGCATTAGAATATAACTTTAGTATGTGAAAATTTCTAGATGTGAAGCTGAGGAGGAGAGATGAGATGGGTATTTTAGAAGTATTAAGAAAACAGTAGTGTGAAAAAAACACGAAGGGGTGTAAATAGAAATTTTTAATTTCTAATGTCAAGGGTCATTTTCATCCTCAGCCCGAAGATCCAACTTTCGTTGTGTTTAGGGTTGAGACATATTCTGATTCAACTCACCCAATAAAATGTTTTAAGACGTAGAAACTTAAATTTAGCAAAAAATATTCAGCTTCACAACATTTATTACATTAAGTGATGGTGTAATGAAGAATCTAACACGACAGACAATAATGTCTTGTGATCTAGAGTTGCATTGGAACATCTTAATGTCCTTGTCATGGCATGGGGGAAAAGAGTGTTGAGATCCTATGGAGACAGTATAATTTGCATAAAGTGTTAGTCCTGAGAGTAAAATTGATACATGGTGAAATTAATGTTGACCACTTTAATATTGGATATTGTGGTTTCTTTTGAAATGATTAAATAAGTTTATTGGAACTACCTTATTCAATTGTTTTCTACTGATTCTCAATAACAACTTAGACCTTTGATTTACTTGTATTGACCTAAAATTACATGAATGGATTTGTATATGTAGAAAAGAAGATAATGTTAATATTATTTTATGGTGGTAGACTAAGTCATAAGATGGATTAAAATAACTCTTTACAATAAATAAATTTCTTGAAAATTTAAAACCAATTAGGCTCTGTTCTGAAGGATTTCAAAGCAAGCACAAGCGTCATACTTTGAAGAAAATGGTAAATGATTTCAGTTGTAACACTAAAATAAATTTGAATTCTCAGATCTCAATCTCTGGTAAGGTATCGTATCTAAGACATGGAAAATTCAAATTTACCACAGCTAGTGTCTCCTATGTGGTTGAATAATGTGAATATTAAGTCCAAGTTTCACACTCCATATCAGTGCTCAGATGAACATTAATCAAGTAATTATCCCAACACAAGCTTTCAAACTCTCTGCGCCTTCCTTATCTGATTGGTTCTAGCTGTCTCTCTCTTCCCTTTAAAACTAAAATTACAAATATTAGCACCTCATAAACCAGTTTCCAATAATCAAAACTGGGTCACTTACTTCTAGAGCTCACACCTAACCTAATATTAGTAATGGATGAATAGAAGTTGCATCCCAAGAGGCATGATACAAACCTCAACTAACAAGTACTTTGTGTCTTCATTTTTTTGCCACTTGTCAACATTTGCTCACACTTACGTTGACCTGATTGAAGTATCTATCAGGTGGAAGATGTCAGTATCCTCTAACTCCTGATGCTACTTGAGTGAGATGATTATACAATAACTAAATGGAGCTCTATAAGTATGCAGAACATTGTCTAAGATACCGAATGCCTCCTGCTTCTAGATGGGGTAGATTTTGTTTCCTCTACAACAGTGGAAGCAGGACTTTCTGATGTATCAGAACTAGTTAGCTCACCACTTCTTTCTTTGCTTGACCAAATCTTTGACATTATCTTCTTTGAGATGAGACCTTTCATTTTACTAGCAGCAACATTCTCAGCGTTGCCTTTACCACAATTATTGTTGTTTCCACCTGATAATTTTAGTGCATCAAGTTCCCCTTTCAGAGATTTTATGTCTTCAACTGTTCCCACAGCATCCCATTCCTCTTCTGTGTTTGTAATAGTAGACCTTGAGCTCCCATGTGATCCACCAGGAAGTAAGGCCCTGATCGACCCGGAATGTTCTGGTGTGTTGTTGCCTCCTGAAGATGCTGTAGCTCTCAGCTGCTCAAAGAAGAGAACCTGCACAACAACACGCATGGGAAGCCGCTCGTTCTGCACAGCATGCATGCAAGCCTCTGCAGACAACTTCTTGCAGTTCATCAACCTACATATTTTTTTCCTTTCACTCTTACTAATTCCAGGATGCTCCTGCATGACATAGTAAATTCACTCAAGCCTTATGGTTAAGGTCAATGGGATCAAGCCTTTGGGTTGTGAAAAACAAAAGATTTACCTTTAAATACATGTCAATGGCACGATAAAGGCCATCGTGAGATGTCCTAGGAAAGCTTGATACTAGTTCAGCAAGATTAACAAAATTTGAAAGAGGTAAATTTGGATCACGTGCAATCTCAGCAAGGTAGCCATCGACCAGTTTTGCCACCTTAGCCTTTGAAGTGTCCGATACAATCCCGGGGCTTCTGATCTCTTGAAATTCATCTTCCAACAGAGAATCCAACTGAACATGTTGATCACATGCTACAAACTCTTCTACTAGCCTTTGCACAATATCAACATCAAAAATTGTCTCACCATCTGGTGCCCGAATTAATAAATCAGACACCTTGGCCTCTTCAAGGCACATACCTATTCTTCTAATCAGTTCAGATCTCTCTAACTCTTCACATTCCAACAGAATAGCAACCCTTAGCAACTTCACCAAGAAACTGAAAGAGACACTGCCCACGTCCATGGGTAATAATCGAATTATGGTCTCCAATAATAATCTATTCTTGACAGTATCTCCGCCCTGGATCACACCCTTGGTGAAGCCAGGCATCCTTCTTGAGGCATAAGCATTTAGAGATTCTCCAATTACAGCACCAGAAACATTGCCTTTGGTTATAATTGTTGTTATAATCCGTTCATACAGATCAAGGTGGAGCTCACAGAGGTCCTCCACCCACCAGTCCTTTGGAACCAATTGCTGTTTCCTAACACTATTGAACTGAGGATCATTACTATTTTCAGATGGTAGTTTTTTCCTGTTATAGGTATATGACCACTCCACCTTTGATGTATCCATTGAAGCCTTGGTAGCTACAGAGTCAATGGCATGGCTCACTACTTTAAGTTCCTCAGACCATGGAAGAAGGGACTTGGTAGTTTGAAGAACAATAATCGAGTCCTTCCAACTCCTGAAAATGCTCGAGTTGAGGAAGACTTCAATCTTATATATAAGATTGCCTTTCTCAACAGTTTCATGCATCTCAAGATATTCTGCTGCACAGCGAGCTGCAACCACATTGTATGCATTAAGAGTGACTGTCATACCATAACAGAACTTGGCACATATTTCAAAAGCAGCAGGTCCGCCAGGAATGTCTTGGATATGGACTTCATCATTGTTTTCCTCACTAGAGTTTGTAACCACCTTTTGGATGCGTGCACTTTTTGACAAAAGAGGAAACTGCACAGACAGAGAAGCTTAAGGTCATGATCAAATGCAGAGAAGAATATGAACTCCACAACCAGAGTTGCAGGTTGGAAGAGATTATTTTAAGGAAATAGTTACTTTTCTTTTGTTAGCCAATCCTTACAAAGGATTTTGAAAATAAAATATCATTTCTGTAAATTCAAAAATATTGATGGGTTTTTTCTTTGTATTTTGAAAATAAAATACAAAGCATGCGTGCATTGATATATTTGATGGGTTTTTTCTTTTCTTAACAGAGGATTCATCAATGAGAGATTATATATCCAGACCCTGCCTGAACTTGTCTCCATAGTACCTTAATCAAAATTTTCATGGTGTTAAAGAGGAAAGAACAGATTACACTAATTTAGAACATCGTTTGACTCCACATTTCCCCTTGCAATGAGTATTGACGGGTATATGATGAAGGTTATCCTTCATGTCCATAATCAGAAGAACTTTATAATGGCTGGAATCAATTACAGACTTTCCTTTCTAATAAAGGGGTCAAGAGATGCCTAATTCACATGAAAAATGAGCGTTCATATACAAGTGACCTATATTTAAGATTGCCTTATCAACTCAACGTCAGATTGAATCTTACCTTATGGAGATAAAATTTGACATTTCCAACATTAACTACTATGTCAGTTGCCAACTCAGTTGCCACATACCTGACAAAAATATGCTGGAGCATATTAGTTTTAAATGAAAGTAACAAATCAAAGACAAGAAACAAAGAATAAAGAAAAGATATTGTAAGAAAATTTATTGAATATGCCACAGAAGAAAAAGATGCAACGCGGTTTATGCTACTTAAGATTCTCAAACATGCACCATGGAAAGATCGGTCTTCTTTGTTCGTATTACTGAACTAATATGCATGTCTTTGTGCTGTCGTACATTGATAAAACAAAGAAAAGTTAAGTAGAAGACTATAGAGTATAGCATTTAAACGACAAAGGACGTAATCACTAACACCACATCCAATACACTATAACTGAAAAGAACAGTAATAATTCGATTTTAAAATACTAGATTATACGAAAATGTTAGAGGATTGGCGTATCCTTTTGCAAATTGAACTCAAATAAATACCATTTCAAAAGTGAGTGAATACTACAGAGTGTATATAGACTACTTCATGTCAAATGACAAAAGAAGATGTGTCGAATACCATATCCTACAAAATGTCACTGGAAACAATGAAAAGAGTTCAATTTGGCATGAAATGATTATAAAAAATGACATATGATTCACAAAAACCTCAGATATATAACACAAAATTATGTAACTCTTAAATTAATATTATTCTAAAAAAAATCAATTCATTGGTAAATGAAATATAGATTTCTAATATTATAATTTCTATTTAAATGTCTAAACACACAGGCATCTGAACAGCACTGCATACTAGTTCGACACTATTGACTAAAAATAGGAATATGTCTTGTCAGATAAGAACATTTTTATTCCCTTGAAAATTAGAAAGGCTATGAGATATATTAAAAAAAAACAAATAAAAAAATAGAGGATTTAAACCAAATCCATCTTCAGTCAAGCAAATCTATCACAATCTAATATAATGATATGTGCATGAACAGCAAAGCAGAGATCAAATCCAGTTGAAATCTGGAGTCACCATCTTCATGACAGAAAATGATAGCCTCTAATTTTAAGAATAGCACACAGCGAAGATTAAATTATTGGCCAATCTGTTTTCTTAGAGAAAAAGTCCAAAACTGATTGTTTTTTCATGTTCATGAAAATCGAAGAGAAGTCCTGCAAGAAAAAAAAATCATGAAACTACAACTGATTTGATGCCTGTAAAGATTGATTTGCACAGAGTAGAGTAGAGGAGGGAAAACACAATAATAACGAATTAATATGAGGAAGCAAACCAAAAAGAAACCAATACTGGGATTTTGAAGGAAATTAGTTAGAAAGCATCGACCAAAGAGGGGATGAAGGTAAATAAAGTAACTTGCATACACATCACATGAGAAGCGATGTTCTAAGTAGAGAGATGAGATTGATTTCGTACCTGATATTATCACCATCATTCTGAAAAGAATCTGGTTTAGATCCAAGTTTCATAAACTTCATCTTCCCCAAAGGAAATGACTATTCTGCTCCTTTTTTCCCTATGTTGCTCTACCTCTGAAAGAAACCACCAACCCACAGTTTAGATTTGAAAAAGAATGAGATATATTGTTAGAATCTAGAGTGAGGAAAGGAGGATCAAATAGAAATATGGTATATTTCCTATTAAGACCGAATCTTTTTCACAAAACGAGGTAAGCGTGCCAAGAGAGTTTTTTAAATGTTTTTCTTTCGCTCACTTGACTTGGGAAGTGTCAAAGATAAGGTTACTTACTGCAATGGTAACAGTCCAAGTACCTCAGAAAAGAATGGCCATGTTAGGAGACATTGCTAACAGAAACAGACTATCTCAAACATAAAAACAATTCCTCAAAGACAAAATCAGAGACAACCCCACTTGCTCAAAACTGACACCACCGCCCCAACCACGATAAATTATGTTTTTGATTCTAGATATTTGGTTCATTTTCTTCTCTCTTTGTTGGTTCCAATAACTTATTTTGACACCAAGAGCTACACCTTTTCCTTTGCTAGCCACGTTGCAGCTTTGTCCCTCCTTTAAAGCTCAGCACCTGCCACAACACAAAACATGTATGAATCAAGAGAAATACCACAGAAGCAGTGGAACATTGGCTCCAATTTCTAAGAAATAAGTGGTGTTTCCTGCTTCAGTGATCATTGCACATGCAAACTTGGTCCGAGAAAAAAGCCATTAATTGAAAGACTATGTATAGGCGGACAACAACATATTTCTCAGAATTTAAATTTAGAAAGTTGCATACACATTAGAAAACAAGCTTGATGGTGATCAATTGATTTCACTAAAAAAACAAAGACAATCCGCAACAGATTTTCATGTTCAGCTAAACACAAACAATACAGCAAAAAATAGAATAAATTAAAATCAGCAAAAACAAAATCAAGCAGACCCAGGACAGAAATTGGCAAAAGTTTGAATTTTTTATATTAAAACCTTGAGAGGCTTTATATAATGTAGCAAAGTGTAATGAACAAAGAGAATGGATAGGGAAGAATACGAAGGGACAGGAATAAATCTCAACAGAAACACAGTATACGTACCAGACCTTGAATTGTTCTTCTTCTCTTTCCCGCAATAAATATTGGAGAAAGCAAAGTGGATTGAGTGAGAAGCAGAGTAAAACAAGTAGAAGCAGATAACAAGAAAGGAAAGTGGTAGAGGCAAAGAGTCAGAGGTAATCAAAGAGATCTGAAATCAGAAGGCATGTATGTCTGGCTCTGCCAAGTAAGAAGAATCTAACATGGGGTGGCCACGACAAGAAACACAAAGTTCAGTGCATGAGTGACACTATATCCTGAAAGAACAACCCCACATATCACACAAACTACCCAACCAAACCCAAAAGACCACCCTTCTAAAAGATAACTTGTTCCTCATCTTTGGCAGCCACAGCAGCTACACAAACACAAAAAGCCAACCATCATCACAGTGCTTCTTCTTCTCTCTCTCTCTCTCTCTCTCTCTCTCTCTCTCTCTCCCTCTTTGATCAAAACTTTTGGTTCAACACCCTTGCCCCCACCACCACCACCCTTCTCTCCTTTCCCACTCTCTTCTCGTAGCCTCTTAAGCTACAAAACAAAAGCATTCACGAAATATACAACAGTCCAAGTTGTCCATCTTTGGCAGAAAATAAATAAAAAAAGTTTGGAAAGAAATAATAATTGATTTGTGACTTTAAAGTGAGGCTTTTAAAGTGAATAATAATAATAATAATGAGCTTCTTTATTAGTAGTTCAGTTCTGGCTTCAAAGCAAGTAATAAAGTAAAAGCAGGTTCTGTTAAAATGATGGCCCCTCACACCACACTCTCTCCCTTTCTCTATCTCTCTCCGTGTTTTCAGTGTTCCTGTGTCAGTGTATGCATGCAGTGAGTATGCACGCTCATCTGACAGCAACCACTTTGTTGCTCTCTTCTCTTCGCCAAACTCAAACGGCTTCGTTTCGGGACGTGAGGCAAACCAGAACCACCCGGCAACTGTGACCAGACCAGAAGATGGTCTTTTATAATTTATTTTTTTTCTTTTCAATAAAAATTACGGAAAAATAATTATATTCAATATTTTGAGGATTTATAAGAAAAAATGTTTTTAATTAAAAATTAAGGCGTCATTTAGAAATAAATAAATTATTTATCTTAGAAAAGGAATAACCAATCCATATCTTCCTTGTACTTTGATAACAATGAACAAGCTTTTAGAAAACGGTTCTATGTTTGGATACCCATTTGGCCTTCACTAAATTTAATCTGTCCTTTCGTTTGGTGCTTCGTTCTCTTTTTCCTTCGCTAAAGTAATTTTTTACTTACATTTTGTATTTTTTATATTAGAATTGTCTGATTTAAGTTCCAATATATTTTATTTTGTGAAGTTTTTACATGAAAAATATCGATGGTACCTATAATGAAAATTAATTTATTTTAAATATTCAAATTCCTGCAATTCCTATCCCTTTCTATTTAAACATGGACTTCACCTCTAATTTAATTTTATAAAAGTTTAAAAATAAATGTTTGCATTGTTTTATATATTATAAATCTATTTTATTTTAGTTTATGTGTGCGACACATTAATAAAATATGTATATCTCAATCTTAAAATTATATTTTCAATGACAGTTTAATAATAACGGTAACACGATAAATCAAATAAATAATTAAGAGTAACTTTATACCATAAATTTGTCTAATATGAACACTGACTATTTCTTACATATTTGAAGAAATCAAACATATCACCATTTTGAGTTTGCCAATGTTTTGAAGAGTACAAATACTAGCATAAATTGCTTTTGAAAGTTTATTTTCTATTGAGAATGTTCAACAACAACATCAACTAGTAGTAGTATTTTTGTTACTAATATTTAAACACATTTCATTATATCGACGCGCTTCGAAACGACAAACATATATTATTATAATAAACCCATCATTTTATCAAACTCCAGTTTATAACATATTTTTTTATCCAAATTTTTGTTTGCACGCTTTAATTTAAATACAACATCAAAATTGTTAGTGTTTGTGATTAATTACAACTATAATTGCATCAAATATACTTTTCTATAAACTTTCACAATATATTAAGTAACTAGATCTTAGTTACAACCCAGTTCAAAACATTGAAAATAAATGATGATTCAACTTATTTTAACCGTGAGAGAGCTTACAAGAAGATACAAATTTCGTAATTTAACATCAAGTAATTGTGATATGTAAAATTATATATAACTATTTTATTGTGTTATTTATATTGTTTCAAATTAAAATAGTTATAGTATTGTTTAAAATAAATGGAGTATAATAACAAATATTTTGTAATTTTTTAAGTTGTAAATAATCCTTTGTAGAAAAAAAAATAGTTTAGAAGCTGTTACATATGTACTTTGGATAGGATGGAGGATAACAAATCATGTTATATTTCAATAAAATCAAAATTTAGATTTAACCATACAAATAATTAAATGACACATATAATCATTTGAGTTATATAAATATATATATATATATATATATATATATATATATATATATGTGTGTGTGTGTGTGTGTAAATCGATATGTTAGAATTGTTATATTTAATTAATTAAATTATAACTAAAACATATATCTCATAAAACATTTGAGATTATAAGTAATATTTTATTTTGCTGAAAAAAAATTACAAATATTAAAATTTAGAAAAAGTAACAAATAAAAGTTCATGGATCATTGTCTCCGTGTGTAAGCACTTATAATTTTTGTTGTTTGTTCATATTTGTTTATATTAGAAGAGAAAATTAAGAAAGAATCTAAGTTCTTATAAAGTTGGAAAGTCATATACAAATTACTCTACATTATTTTTAGTTGCCAATTCAAATATACTTTGGTTTATTGTTTTAAAAGAATTTAAAACTACTCTATTAAATAAAGAGTTTATTGTTCGTTATAATTATATGTTTTAGATTCATAATCTAACAACATAAAGGTAATTCTTTTAAAAATATATATTCTCAATTTTACTATTGATATAGAGGCAAGAAGGTGCTCTCATCATGCTGTTTATGGAGGTCTTTCAGGGGAGTTTGGTTAGATTACATTTGGGAAATTCTCTTTTTATCTCGGATTTTACAAATTATTTTATGTAAAACTAATATTTTTATCGGGAAAATTATGTAAAACTAATGGCTATTATATTGATGATAGAGATTTCTATGGATCATAATCATCGATGCTTGTGGTTCAAATGTAACTTGGTTATCAAGTTTTTACGAAGATGAATCAAGTGTCTTAAAAGTTATAATGCTATAAACTTTGAGATTTTTCAATTTTATCTAAAAATATCCATTATGATAATAGACTTGTCAACTTTGACATCGATAAGAAAGTAGCTTTTATATTTAATGATTTTTCTAATAGTCTTAGAAAGTAGCCATTGCGAAGATGATTTGCCATCGATAAATATTAATTCTCATATTTTCGTCTTGTATTAGTTATATCCTTTGTGAGGACGTGGCCGTTGTTTTTTTCTTATATTTTGGTATTTTTCTTTTCCTTTTTTTTATGTACGTCTTTCTATGTGATATATAATGGTTGAACATCGAATGATAATATTGTGTTTAATGTGAACCTTTTATAAAACACAACAAAAAGACAAACGAGTATGATAATGAATAAATGTTTCTATAATTTTTTTTCTCTATTTAGCAATATCTTTTTTTTTTTCCATGTCATGTGTCTTTTTATCAGATTATCTCTCCATAATCAAATAACTTTTTCACTCCAGAAACTAAAGAGAACTGAGTTTATAGTTAAAAAAACTAAATCATTAAAAAAATACTTTAACGTTTTCCCGCACTTAAATTAGAGAGTTATATTTTAAGGTATTTATAAATGTAGTAATTTTTACTTTTAATCTATGTAAAAAATTTACACTTGCACTATTCGTAATCTATTTGCATCCTTACAAATTTAATATTTCTCTCTTAATGTCCGTACAGGATGTAATATCTTGGTTTTATTCCCTGACGTTAGCCGAAGACTTGAACCAAAAGGACAACAAATATTATAAATAACAAAAGAAAACAAAAAAAAAAATGAAAATTATTATAGTTAGGGAAACATAAAAAATATTTAAACTTTATAAGGTATTATTTAAAGGGAGGCAAGACAAGAGTAATATTTAATTGTATCTCTTTTTTGTGTCTGAATGATCTGAATTCTGGTATATATAGCAGTTTATCTAGTCCCTCTCCTTGTGGACAAATCCTCATCATAATGCATTTCACCCAATAATCATATATATATATATATATATATATATATATATATATATATATATATATATATACACACACACACACACTCCCACGTGCAATGCTTCAATCTACCATTGGCAATGTGAACAAAATAAATCAGTTGAATATAATCGCTGTTTCAGCGTATCTTTTCCTCAAACACATCCCCATGATAATGCTTATAGTTGCTCCCAAATTGATTTTTGCCACTACATTAGAAAAAAAAATATGTTTGGAGAATCTGGTCCAATGAACATTTATTGAGGAATATGTTTCACAAACATGATGGAGATGGTGATAGAAGCAAGAACGCGCCATGAATATAAAATTACAACTTAGAACTTATTAATGTCACGGTCTTCCAGACATTATTATTAATATTAAGATTGCTGGATTGACTGCTACTTCTTTTATTTCTTTTTAACGCCTTCATTTTTTTTTCTTTATCAAAAGTTTATTTTCCATATTTAGGACAACATAATAGAAATATTCACTTGTCAGATGTATTTGTATTCTTTATTTCATTTTAAACTTATTTATTATGGCGTAGAACTGAAAACAATTAAACAAATAAACAATCTAGAAAAATTAGTGTATTTTTTTAAAAACGAAAGAGTATTTCTTTATTGCATATTATTATAATGTTTTTATTTCACGAATTTGAAGTGAAATCTTTTACAATTACAAGAATTTTGTTTCTACAATTGAGTTTAAATTATGAGAGAGAATTTTTATTTTAACTCAGTCATTTCTATATTAATAATATCTTTAATACAAATAGTTTTTTGTTGACATTATTACAAATAATTTTTCAATTTATTTCAATATTGATGATGTAGGGTTCAAACTTATCCAGCTTGTTGAAATTTTAAATGAAAGAAATGTGAAAGTTGGATTGGTTGGATTAAGGAAAACATAATAAAATTGAAGGACAATGAGAGAAAGATTTATAAAAGTTAGTGAATGATAGATAGATGTGATAGATTAAAAATAGTTATTTAATTGATAAAAAAAGATTTCATTTCACTCTTGTATATAATTGTAATTTAACTTAAATTATAAACAGTGTAAATTATATTAGAATAATATGTGAGTAATTATTTAAACGAAAAAATTAATTTTGATAAAAATATATTAAATTGAAATGTGATTTTCAAAAATTAAGTTTAAATAAAATTTTGAAGATTTGTTTAAATAAAATTAAGTAATAATTTAACATTATGAAATTATTTTAAATTCAAATGTGATTGTTTAAAATTAATATAAATTAAATTAGAGTAATTTTGTTAAAAACATTTATATGAACTAAA